AACGTTTATTGAATGTGATACGCATATGTGGCGTGTTGGTGAAAGGAAGTTGCCACGAGGTATCATAATCGATGGCGGAAGTGATTGGATTGCGCTCTCTCCAGAATTTGTTTCATATGTCGTTGGAAAACAAGATCAACTGTTAAGTGGTTTGGATGTAATATTTCAACACACGCTGCTACCAGCTGAGTCGTTTTTTCATACAGTATTAAGAAATTCACATTTCTGCGATTCTTATGTTGACAACAATTTGCATGTCACTAACTGGAAAAGAAAATTAGGGTGCAAATGTCAATATAAACATGTAGTCGATTGGTGTGGATGTTCGCCTAATGATTTTAGAACTGAAGACTGGCCTCGTATTCAAAACACTCAAGACAGACAATTATTTTTTGCTCGAAAGTTTGAACCTATAATAAATCAAGAAATAATAAATCGAGTGGAGCAATATATAGGCATCAAAGATCACTATTTGATACCAAACTTGGAAGCATATTGGCAGAGTATTTATAATGTAGAAGACATGACAGCTAGTTCAGATGATATTCTGTTGACCCATGCTGGTAGTATTGTTAGACATAATGCTAGAATACTTCTAGAAGAAGGCTGTAAGATCGAGCCTGATTTAATAATTGAAATAAATTCTTATAATTATGCTGATGTTTATAAGGGAAATTTAATATTGCATAAAGCTATTGTACATGATAATATAGAAATATTAATAGAGACTTGGTATAAACCTAAAAAACATATAGAATTAAATTTTGAAAATCCATATATAGATAATATAAAAATATTTAAAGTAAGTTCTGATTACGACCAGAAGGAAACCACATTCAGGAACCTAGCTGGTATTTTGGGTCCTTTATCTGAGCCTCTTTTATTGTATGAATTTTCTGCTCAAGTAGATAAGAAAAGTGAAAATTTCACTTTAATTTGGTTAGACCCCACTGGGGCGATTGGAGATGTTAATATGATACATGTAGATGAGAACAACCTAACAAATTTTATAAAACCGAACTTAAAAGCGCCGCTTTTACCGGGAATCTGGAAAGTAGGTTTATTTGAACAAAATAGAATAATTGTAGCCACTAAGTTTCTAATATCACCTTTAGAGTATTTTTCTGGTAAAGACTTGTCACATCAAGAATCTAGTATAATTCATAGCGGATCTCAAAATTCCTACAAAAATTTTTCTAATATTAAACCAAAGAATTTTCTCCCTGACTATGAACAGAGCATATTATTACAGAAAATATCACAGTCAAATATTCAAAGAATAGACCAAGATTTAAGAGAATGGATTGATGGACTGACTTTAGAGTTTTATAATGTATTAGGTTCGTGTATTATGTTCAATAATGAAATCAAAGATAAATTAACATGTGGCCGTCATAAATTTGAAAATTGCGTCTCAACACAATGGAGTTCATTAACAAATGATCCTAAAGGCACGATAGGCAAATTAAATACTAAAACTGGACAATTGGAAAGAGTATGACAAAAAATTGTTTTCTAGTTTTATCAAGTTTTATTGATACAATTAATTAATACATATTATACATTGTTATTTTTCAGTACATACCGATTTTACTTTTATTTCATATTCCCTTGCTTATTTCATACCAAATATTGTATATGGATGCCGAATGCCGGATCCGGCGAGTTCGGGTGCCATCATTGTGAGGACCACCACCCAGAGGACATGGTAGAGCATACGATGGCGGTGTGCCCTGCTTGGGTTGAGCACCGCCGTGTCCTCAGGCCCTTGAAAAAAAACACAACACGTCACGGGGTTGCGGGGTAAGCGCAATGAGGTACCGCGACCTCGGCACGGAGCAGGAGAAGGAACAGGGGGGTTTTTAGTCAGTAAGAGTCTGACACTCCCTCCTGCCCGGCCCTGGGCGGGAGAAGTCATTTGATGATTTTCCCCTCACAAAAAAAAAAAAAAACAGTACCTACATAGAAATATTACAACCTATCTTTTGAATCTGAGGATCGAACCCTTGATATGACTTCTGGAATGTAGTGTTTACATTCTTTTTGATGACTACTAAACCCGTTGATTCATAAAAACCGGTTTAAAGACAATTTTATTGAGTGTGTGTAGAGTTCTTGGATGGTAGATATGAGTGTGGGAGAGCCATGCTTTGGAACTAATAGGCAGGCACAACCGAAGAGATACAACGCCTTCACAATATGGAACACCCGCAGCGTTGCGTTTTGTCCTGTGAGTGAGGTTATCGAATTATCTTTCCCCGACAGCCCTCCACCTCTAATACCCTAACGACCTACAAACTTACATAAAACTCGCGTATTCTTTCTTAAAAGGCTGGGAACACGCCTGTGAATCCTCTGGTGTTGCGGATGGCCATAAGCGATGCTGTTCAATCACTTACCATCAGGTAATCTATCTGCTCGTTTGTCGACGTATTGCATAAGGAAAAACCGACTGCCTCTTTATAAAATTTGAAGTGAATGGCTATGTAGATGGGAATCTTCTATCAAGCGTTTATCTTAATTTTTATCCATAATTGTGCGACTGCAATAGACATGGTTGGAGGTGGACCTTTGCCAACATGTTCTTAACTAATTTTTCGTTTAAATAGCGAGACTGCGGGACCTCCAACACTAAAACCTCCGCGGTGACCATCCAATATCACCAGTTCCTATGGTATACCGGGTCCTATTATATATTTACTCCGGAACCCTCACAGTAAATCCATTCAGTTTTGCAGTTTATGATGACACCACAACACGACAACTTTGCGCTTGTGGTTGAGATTTTGAACCCGGGCCTCCAAAAGCGCTTTATAGTAGATGAGCCTTTTGGCACGTCTCTTGATGTAGATAGGTACTCCAGTGCTTCTAATTGCTTTTGCTTACTATAGGTACTAGCCGAGCAATACCTAAGATGTGATGAGAAGATATTTTAATTAGATAAGCTCTATTCATCAATGTTCAGCGCAAAGTAGATACCTACATACCGGCCGTACCGTACCTTCGACACCTTGCCGACATCCCTACCAGCTAATTGTGCCTTCAGCTCTATGTCATCATATCAGGCCACATAGGACTCCCTAAATGATTTCCAAATAAGCCAGTTGGAAGAAACTTGCTTCCAGTAGGTCCATGCAACTTTAATTAGATCGATCGTCCATCTTCTGGATGGACCTGCGCTGCTCTTGCTAGTCGGTAGTCTACATTCGAGAACCTTCCTACCCGAGCGGCTTTCGGTTCTACTTATGGACCTTTCTTAGTTCGTGGATCTCTTCATTTCTGATTAGATCCCGCTAAGAAAAACCAACCACAGTCCTTTTTTTTAAACAAATTCCTCACACTAACATTTTCTCCTGTGTCGTGGGTGCGGTTACACACATACAATTTTACATACACATGGCACCCAGACCCGGAACAACAATTTGTGGATCACACAAATCGTTGTTCGGTGCGGGAATCGAACCCGCTACACGTTATACGGCAGCCAGTTGCCCAGCCACAGCACCAACCATGCAGTCCAACCGTGTAGTCATAACACCCCCGTTAGACAGTGACCATCAGTTTTCTAGGGGTAGATACTTAAATTTTTGGTTAGGGCATTGTTTTTATACTGAACCAGGGTCCAACCAAATGTCCATGTTATACCATTCTTGGTTATCGTTAGGAATGACATCCTTGACGTCGTAGACTAGGTACCTACTACACATACATTGGTCAGATCAAAAAGGTCGCCATTTAGTTAACGAAACAGACATACTAACCGGCATTCCGGAATCTAGAAAGTAAGTATTGTTCGAAGTCAACAAAAAATTACTTCGTCTGCTGAATACCAAAGGGGCCTGAGTTTTCCTAGCGTCGAACTTGACGACGTAGAGGCCCCGAGCCCATCCTCTAGGGAAATATTAAACTATCTAGCATCGATTCGCTGAAAACATGACCTGCATTCCGCTAGTCCACCCATTGGACTTTCAATTCTCTACAAGCAACAATTCTACCAGACTTAGGTAGATCGCTTATATCTCTGCATCAAAAAGAACTGCGTTAGACGCCAGACGACTACACGAATTGAAAGTCTCCTATTCATCTCTCTGGGATTGGGACTCTTTTGACAAATGTCGTTTTAGCTGAGTTTTTGTGTTTAAGTTTTGTATCCTCTAGGGCACCATACGCCTTATGCAATAGATTTACATGGTGTCTGTGCGGTTAAAGCATCGGCAACAAATATTTTTTTTTACTGTGACAAAAACCTACTACCACAAAAGTATGTTACCTACATAAACTACAACGAATTACTTGCATGAAAATAATTAAAGGCCTCTAAGTTTATTTCTTCCTGTCATTTCTACTCAGACAGCAAATGCCAGTTTTATCTTTTTATGGCTTTCTTTCATAGTATACTTACCTACCTAAATAATTTTCTTATTAAAGTTGGAATTGTACCAATGGTGACCAACTTATAATAATAATTACGGTTATGTAGGTGACCAATTGACTGTAGTACGCAGGTGATGATGGAGGTAGATGCTATCGCCTGAAACTTATGCCTGATTATTAAATGAAGTACTTAGTGAAGGTTTTGGAATTAGACAAAATCAAGAGAGCTCTGCCAATTATTAGTAGGTATGTAGAAATCAGGGTCATAGGTCATAGCTATACTCAAATCAACTTAATAAAACAAATTAAAGCAGATTTAAATTACAATTTGTTTATTCAACACATTAAAAATAATAGTTTCCACTTTTAACAGGCTTTTATAGGTATATTATTTTTAATGTGATGTTAATTTACATATAGATACAATTTTTTTCATCTTACAGAAAACCAAAAAACAGGCATCTTTTCGTTAGCAACGTAAAAAAATCATCTCGAGATCCTAATACTTACTTACAAAATAGAAAACGTTACCAATCTAATTTAGATGGCACCAAGGCGCTATAAATTAAAATAGATACTAATAACTACTAACAAGTCAAGTCAAAAATTAAAAATAGGTACCCATTAGAAATCAAAATTGTTACATTTTCATTTGGATTATTTGTTGAGTCGCTAATTTAATTAATCCGTTGAAATCTTCGTGTAAATGTGACCGCCAAAACTTGCATCTACCCCAAACGATAGCGGGATAATTCGGTGAGGAAATTCCTTGAAAGATCCTTGCAATACTTCTACCAGTAAAGTTACAGTCTTTATATATATTTATTATAGACCTGACGTCCGATACAACTCTTTCCACATCTAAGGGCCGTGCTTCTATAGTCATATCAGTGGGAATATTATCTCGTTCAAAGTAATTTCTTACATATTTTTTTAAATCGTCTGATATTTTGAATAGACTTTCTACAGATAAATTCATATTTTCCAAAGAAACGGTTCCTATGTTATGGAACGCTGTGTTACATTCTTCTAACTGATACAATCGTGCCTTTTCTTGCGAAATTACAGAATTATGCAAATCATCCAACATTTCGTCCAATTCTGTAGCACTTAAGTCTCCTCTAGCTCTAATACGGAAACCAAGTGTGTTAAATTCTACTTTTAAATGTGATCTTTGAGAGATCCCAGATTCTGTGTTCCATTCTAAATTTTTCAAGTGGTATTTAGTAACACCACTTTCCCACCCAATAGCTGCAGCTACTTCAATAACATTAAATTCTATAACACTGCTTTTCATAATACCAGCATCTCTTTTGTTTTCTAATAAAAGTGCCATTGCTAATGGCCTACAGGATTTCGCTGCATCATGAATTTTTTTGGGACCTCCATATGAAGAAATTTTGCAATTGATGTAGGCATTATTAAGAAATTTTATGTAGTGTTTAGGATGGAGTTCAATGTAGCATAGAAGGGTAGCAATGTTTTCTGATGGTAAATCTAATTCCTCTACAGTTGCATCTATAGGGATTCCTACTTCATGACCCTTGCAACTTTTAGATAAATCTGAACAAATTTTAACACATTCACAAGGTATAAACAATTTAGAAAGTAATTTTCTTATTGTTGGTCTATCAATAGAGTTAGCATGAATATGTTTTAATAATTCATTCTTATCATTACTCCCATTACTTAACATTATGTGGCAGTATGCAAGTTGACCATCCCGACCAGCTCTTCCAACTTCTTGTACATATGATTCAAAACTACTAGGCATATTATAATGAATAATACATCTTATGTCTGCTTTGTTGATGCCCATACCAAAAGCAACAGTTGCAACTATTATTCTAACTGTACCCTCCATAAAATGCTTTTGTATTTTTTTTCTCTGTGCAGCTGACATTCCAGCATGATAAGCTTCAGCAATGTAAGACATTCTTTTTCTTTTATTTTTCTTGCTTTCCATGTTGACTTTACCGGTTTCTTGTAAGCATGACCTTAGTACAGCAGCAACTCTTTCACATTCATCTCTTCTTATACAATATACTATAATGGAATTAAATTGTATTATTTGTTCTGACAACAAGTATGATACCAGGGCTTTGTCTTTATCTTTTTCAATTGAAACTGATAAGCATAGATTATCTGGTAGTGCTGGATTCTTTATAACTCCATCAACACCATCAGGTATATTAATATGGCTAATTACACTTTTAATAGTGGTCTGACTTGCAGTAGCAGTTAATCCAAGAATACAGTTTACCTTCAGCTTTTCTCTTAATACTCGACAGATCATAAGATAGCTTGGTCGGAAATTGTGACTCCACTGTGATACACAATGAGCTTCATCTATACAAGCAAAGGCAATTGGAGGCAGTGACTTAAAAAGACCTGATATTCCATTTGATGAATCACCAGCTATCAAAGCTTCAGGTGATATAAGAAGAATGTCTAATAGTCCATCCTTAAGACACTGTAAGATTTTACTACGCTGGGTCTGAGACTGATTTGTGTGATAACATCCAGCCTTGATGAATTCTGGAACATTCAAAACTTGATCCTCCATTAGTGAAACTAAGGGAGAAATTACTAATGTTATACATTTGTAATGCTGACTGTAGAGATATGCTGGAAGTTGATAACAAAGTGACTTTCCACCTCCTGTAGATAATATGAGCAAAGTAGACATTCCACATAAAATTCTTCTAATAGCATTTTCTTGTCCTGGGCGAAAAGCTTTATGACCAAATTTATGAAGAGCCTGCTCCAAGTCAGCTGAAAGAACTTTTTCATAGCTCTCGTAAAGAGGTTTTATTTCAATGCCATCAATATTTGCAGGCTCAGCTAACAATTTCATAAAAGAGTCAGGTACTTTGCTGGATTCAAACATAGCCTCCTGTAGTTGTTCAGTTAGTGACTCATTTATTGTACTACTGGATGGTTCAGATGCATATACTTGCATTTCTTCTAGAGTAGGAATATTATCTTCATTGTAACTATCTAATGGTAAAAGGGTTTCGCCTTTATGTGATTTACAGTATCTTGCCATATGACCTGTATCACCACACTTAAAACATGCAACCTTACCACCCTCAGGAAATTCCATTCCTCCATGAAGACTTTTCTTACTTTTCCATAGTTGCTTTTTGTACTTGGAATAATTAATGTTCTTCTTTCCTCTAGCAAAAACTTTTTTTTCAATATTTATTTTGACAAAATTGTCATTTAAAGTTCCAGCTTTTATTTTATTATCTATACTAGTATTTTCTTTAGAATCATCTACCTTATTGCATTTGTTAACAATAGAGTCAACATTTTGTAGTACATTTGTAATTTGTAAATGACGAGGCTTTATATCTCTTTCTAAGCCATAAGGAATATATTCTTGAATGTCAGGAGGCAATTGTTCAACAATATTATTTTCAATTTTATGTTTAGATTTACTTAAACTCTTCTTTTCAGGAATATTAATTTGGGTGCTATTTGATTTCTCAGTTTGTTTGTGTTGAACTTTTTTGTCTTTGGACCCATGGTGTTGTTTGGAATCATCATCATTTTTAACAACTTCTAATTTTCTCTTCTTTAAGGCGGGCATTAACTTATCATTGACCAGGTCATCTTCTGATTCACTATTTTCCACATAATCATGAGGTTTTTCTTTGCTATCTAAAATCTTGATGTTGCCTATTCCAAATCTTTCAGGTTCAACAGAGTGATCATTCCCTTCAGATATAATACCAGCAGCTCTATCTAGCCATGCATTATTTACTTGTCTAATTACTGGTCTCAAAGACTGTGATTGTCCTTGTGAAAAATGTGGCAAGGTCATGTCATTGGTGCTCAAAGGTTCTTCAATAATTTTTAATGAATTGTTGGTTTCAGAATTGTTGAAAATGTTCAAATCTATTTCATTATTTATCTGTTCTTGGCAAGTTTCATTTGTTGAACCAGTATTTGAAGATTTATTTTCTGCAGATGGTTGAGATCGGCATATTGAAAGCTTTCTAGGGTTCCTTAGAGAGAATTTTCGATTTTGGAATAGTTTTTTGGATAGATTTTCAGTAAATGGGGTTAACAGTTTATTATCAGGTTTAGCATCTGAATTGGAAAGCAACTTCTCTAGTTCTTGACCACTTGGTAGTGCTGGAAGTTCAGGCTGAGGACTTACAGATTTATTAGAAATGTATTCCACTTGGTCAGGTTCCGGAGAACCAAAGGACTCTTCTTCAAAATCACAAACTGATAATGAATTCTCCAGTGCGTTGCTCTTGAGTTGAAAGTATTTTTTATAAGCGTATTTAATTTTTGGTGGAGCTTCCTTTATGTCAAACTTAGAAGGTATCCGGCTATGTTGTGATTTAAAAGCTTTTTCCCAATTTTTTACTATGATTTTGCATTTTAAGTATGCTTTGTCTTTCTTGATGGTTTCAATGATGTCCATGATTAGATATATCTGTTCTAAGAGTGTACTTTTTAACACTATCCACTCTCTACAGTAAGAACTTTTCAGTAATATTATTTTCCTGGTAAGATCAATATTTTATTGTGATTGTCTTATATCCGATCAATACAAAATAAAATAAATACTTTAGATAGAGTAATACTTCAAAATATCGCTAAAATAAAATAAGAACACAGTATACAGATTCCCGCTTTTAAATACACTAATGATCTGACGTTGACAGTGACATAAAGCAACGACAACTCTTCTTCTTTTTCTTTTTGTTTATGGCTCCTTCTTAAGTATTCGAAGATTTTGCCAACGTCGAGGTAGGAAATGACACTGTACTGTGATCGGTGTAAAAAAAACCAAAGTAGGTAATGTAACTAATGACCGGTAATCAGTGATGTTTGTAGTGCTGGAAAAGGACAAAACAATTTGTTAGTATTAACGACACAAGCGTTAAAACATAAAACGAAGGGGAGTGGGAAGTAGATGTTTAGGTTAAAACTAAATGAATAATAAGGAAAGGGAATAATATGTTATAATAAGGAAAATGTAAAAGACTATGTACAAAGACAAGTGTTAAAGTCGGATGTGATTAATATTGATAAATTTGTATAGAATCTTTACCATGGGGGAATGGACAAGAGTTAGTAGGAATGGAATATTTATTGGACGGGGGATATCATTAGGGAGGAGATCATAAAGAGGGCTAATCAGGCGAGGACATGAAAAAAATAAGTGTTCCAGACATCGATCACTAATAAAGAACTAGATACACAATCAGTGGCAAAAAAATGTCCCAACTGAAAGTCCACCAAACTCAACATCGCGGTGTAGTTTTAGTTTAGTACCACTCGAATGCTCCGACGGTAAACACGCCTCAGTGCTCGTTAAAAAACTGCAAAAACACACACATCTAAGATGCAAAAAAGGATGGAATTTCATATTTTCGTTAAGTAATAATATTATCATTATATAATTGTCATCATTCTATTTTAAATATTGATATTTTATTAAGAAATCAATTTTAAAACTTTTTCCAAATGAAATCGTATTCAAAAACCGGGGTTATAATGCACACAGTTTATAAAGACACTTATACTAAACTTAAAATCATTCTCTAGCATGACCACTTAAGTTGTTCGGTTTACGTGGATTGATTCTGTTCCGTTTAGTGGAGACGCTATTGTTTCTAATTTTATTTATTGTTTTTTTTTTATTAAAAAATAGTTTTTATTTAATATTATACTTCTTTACTGTGTTTATTAAAATATGGAATAGGCAGATGTAATGGATTTAATTTTAACTGCAGTAAAGAAATTTTTTTTTTAGCTTTCATCAAGACCCCTTCGATACGAAAAATTGACAACAATAACGCCAACATTTTCAGTACTTACTTTAGATATATATTCTTTTTATTATTTTACATCTTTTTTATTTGACTTCGAATAGAAAGGATTAAGGAGGACGAAAATAAAAAAAAGAATTATAACTATATGCATTAGTTTCATTGGTAAATAAATGAACAAACCTATAGAAAAGAATACTATAAGTAATGCGTTTTAATTTGCGTATTTTCTTTTTTTGATAAATTATAAAATACGAAAGAAATATATTTCTTACGAGACATTTCGACTCCAATCATTCTTTGTCCTAGCGGTGAGCCGAAGTCGTTAAATTTTATTGCTTATTTTTGACACTTTGTAAATTCGACTTAAAAACATGCGAATATGGTTCAATTTCTTATGATTTGTGTTTGTCAAGAGCTTCGGTCGCAAAAAGTATTAAGATTTTGTACATCACTTTGTAAAAACAACTCTATGAGTTGCATTTAAGGTTTAATTTACATTAATGCATTTTTATTTCAAGTATAAGTACCTAAATACAGTTGGCGACAGTTTTGAAGCGAACTTTTGTATGGGATTATGTATCTAGTTCTTTATTAGTGATCGATGGTTCCAGATTACCCTCTTCCAAACCACATTCACAGATAGAATGATCTCTTACTCTGATTTTAGCTAGAAAGACAGGTGAGCATACAAAAACTAGCCTTAACCGAATGATGACAGTAGTAGTTAATTTGTCAAGGTGTTTGTATTTGCCAAACCAGGTTTTATGGGGAATAGACGGTTGGATAGTGCCGAAGAATTTGCCTTTAACTTTTCGTGTCTTTTGCCAAAGGGAATCCCAACTCTTTGTCATAGCGGGTTTGGCAGTACAACACAGATCTCGAGGAAAACCAATTTTGAGGTAAGATTCAACACCTCAGTGAATTGCTGCCTTGGCAAGCGAGTCAGCGTTATCATTGCCCACGATTCCTGAGTGACTAGGGATCCAAGCAAGAACAACTTGTATACCTAACGTGTGGCATTTATATAAAAGCTGCTTGATCTGGAGGATTAGAGGGAAATTATGACGAGAGCGAAAAGGGGATTTAACAAGGTCCTACAGACAACTTAAAGAGTCCGAAAGAATTAAAGTTTTGTTTAGACTGTGGGATTCTGCATATTTGACCGCTTCTAATAGAGCGATTGCTTCCCCAGAAAAAGTAGAGGACTGAGGAGAAACTTTAAAATTTAAAATAATTTTATATTTTGGTATCCAGACAGCAGCACCCACAATACTGTCTTCTGAAATTTTGGACGCGTCTGTAAACATAGTGACCTAATCTGGCCAGTCCTCCGTTAAAATCTTATTCAACTTGTTATTGGCACCGGGGTCGTTTTTGCAAATGCCAAGACTTAAAATAACCTTTGGTTGAAAAATCAGTGATTCGAAACTAGCTTCAAAAAGCGGGTTGAAATTAGACTGGCATAAAGAGATGGGCAAGTCCTGGGTTGATCGATAGCTATTAACAAGAAGAGGGGGATAACGACAACTCAACAACTGGCAAATTGACATTTAAATTACTAAACTTTATAGGGACTCTTTGAGCATTGGCCTACTTTATAGACCAACTACATACATAAAAGTGATAAAGACTAGCATATATATAAATAAAAAATAAATAAATAAAATAAAATTTATTGATAACTTTCTACAAAATATTGTTTATAATAAGCCACAGTAATTTCAATAGTTAACTCTTAGGTATTTATATAATGAAAGGTAATGACAACTTATACTATTATTTTCACAATTATGAAATACTTGTTATTAACCAGGACTTACGATATTTAAGTGACCTGCCCGAGCTAGGTTTATGTAAACCTGTGTTTCAGGCCATCAGTCTTCGACTTTTTAATACATGGGGCAAATACAATTAATATTACTAATAAAAAAAAGTATATTGTTTATGACTACGAGACTAAATATTATACATATAAAATTATAAAACACATTTAAAATAACACTTGAAGTGTTTGTTTCTTACGGACTAGAAACCAACATTGTACGATTTCTAGAAGTTTTTAGAAATAGATCAATTTACGCATCAATAGCACATACGATCTAGTACACAAAAGACCGATGTGTTTACTTACGGAAGTTCAGATTTGTGTCAATTGTTACACCTACATATTTAGTATAGTCAGCATTTACCAAAGCAGGGCAAGTGCATGCAAAGTCAGCGTGCGAAATTAAGTTATGTGCGATTATTTTTAAATTGCATACTTGCGCATCAGACACAGAAAAACTGTCTAGGTCATCTATTAGCTGAGTGGTCATAATAATTACAAATTAACAATTTTCAATAATACAAAATAAAAGTTTACTTCTAAAGTGCTTACATACTAAGGTAGCATTAGGCCCCTTCATAGTCTATGGAATTAATGTAGTAGTCTTCTGCGTATTTGCGAGCTGGGCAACTCATATCCCCTGTTGGATGGTCACATCTACGCTTAAAACGTTTGCACGTCGCACATTGTGAGGGAGAAGATTTGTTACTACAGTCCTTGAAGGAGTGGCCAGTTTCTCCACAGTGATTGCATGTAGCAATAGCTTCTCGGCAAAACTTGGCCGCATGACCAAACTGTTGGCAATTAAAGCACCTTGTCACAATAGTAAAATCTCGGACCGGACATGACGTCCAATTGATGAAGATTCGGCCTTGATTAATTAATGCTCTCCTAATGCTGGCAGGAACTTCCAAAACATAGTTACAGGTAGAAAGATTCTTCTTACCCGATTTGTGACTCAATTTGATGGTTTCCAGGAATGACTCACGTGTCATATTCGGCAACTTGTCGGTAATGTTTTGCTCGAATATGCAATCGAATACCTCTTTTTCTGTAAGGGCTACTGGTACACCAATAACAGCAATCCTGGGTCGACGTTTTGATGGTTCTTCAATTTTAAGACCAGATGAAACTAATTTTGCTGAGTTCTTAAGTTTTTCGATGTCCCCTTTAGTTTCAGTATTAATTATGACACCCCCATTTCTAACCTTCTTCAATCCACGAACGTGCAGCTTAAGTTCTTCCGGCGAGATAATCTTTTGGACCAGAGACTTTGTTTCATCACTCGTTTTGGTCTTGTCATTGGGATAAATTACGACAGAATTCAAATTTTCTGGACAAACAAAAGTATCCGATCCTTTTTTAACCATATTGGCATATGATTTAGTCTCTGGTTGAATTTTATTTTCAACGGCATCTTTGAGCTGGTGCAGAGAGTTTGAAATATTCAGCTGTTCTTGTAAATGCTGATTTGAGTTATGGGCCTGGATAGTTTTCTGCTTCAGAGCTTGGTATAAAATGGCCATTTGAGACGTCCCGCTGGAAACCTTTCGGCAAAGATTGGTAACTCGAAGCTTCTGTTCAGAGTTCATTTTCCCCTCCGAAACAACTATGCAGACTTCATTCAAGATTGAGTCAATTGAGCTCATCCACTTCTGTATCTCCGGCGTAGAAATTACTTCACTTGGTAATTCATTTTCCCTGACTGGAGGCGGGCTAGGATCTTTAGGAGGTTCCGATGGCGTCGATGGTGGGCTTCGCCGTAGTAATTGGCTACGGCCAAACGGGCTGGCTTCTGGGTTAGACATAACTAACACAGTAACACAGATTGTTTAAAAATAGTTTATTTGTTCATTTTACACTATGACAAAGTTGTTGGTCACCTACTAAGCACTCATGACACACTTTACTTGATATAAATCTGACGCCACAAAATATTTTTTTTTTTTTATTTCGCAATTATTTACAGGTGTGCATTATAAATAACAAAAGACACGTCTGTTTAGTCTCGCTAGGCAGCGCAGAGTAGTATATAGTCTCAGGG